ATAACTAAATATATTTATACAATTATTCCTCTAGAATAGCATTTACCATGATTTCGTTTTTTTCCAGGTACCAAACATTGTTCCAAAAGTTTTACATGGACTAATTTATTCAGTCTTCACAAGGGTCCTATGATGTAGGTATGATTATTATCCCTCCGTTCTTATCTGAGGAAACCGAGATACAGAGGGTTGAAATAAATTTCCCAAAAGTACATAGAGACTTTGGAAGAATAAAAACTACCATAAGTTACTTTCTAGAGCTAGTAAGAGGCAGATGTAGCATTTGAGAGAGAGTAGTTTAGAAGCAGGAGTGGCATCCTCTTCCTAAACAACATGCCTCCGGAAACTCTACGAACTTAAGAGAAATGATGATAGTTATAGAAAGGCTTCAGGTCTTTTCATAGGGTCACTATGAGTCATGCTTGACTCGATGGAAATCAACAATACAACTACAAGAGTCTTGTTTCAGAACTGATATTTTTAATCATCACACTATGTAGCCTCTAACTTATTTGTAGGTTCTAATTGAGGGTTGTGTATAATTGTGAGAAGGACATGAGCTTCAGATTCAGATAAGCCTGGTTTAAATCTCAGCTCTGGCATTTACTAGCTGTGTGGCCTTGGAAAAATTATCTAATATCTCTGAACTTGCGTTTTTCAATTCTATGGTGAAGATGATAACATCTTATAAATTTGTTGCGTTTGCAATAAACTCTAAAATTCACTCAGTTAATTCATTTCCATTGAGTCAGAACTGACTCATCACTCACCCTCCACTGGGTTTCTGAAGCTATCACATGGCACCTTTCTCCTGTGGATCTGTGTGGCCTCTGGTTTAGTAATACACATAGTTAAGTATTCAAAATTAGCCGTATTATTTATTAAAATATTGTTATTACTGTTAGGTATCATCAAGTTGAATACTGCATGGTTCAAAATTGGGAAGGGCGTACGCCAGGGATGCATCCTATCTCCATACCTTTTGAACCTGTATACAAAACAGATTATCCGGGAGGCTGGGCTCTATGAGGGGAAATGTGGGGTCAAGATTGGTGGAAGATCTATCAACAATCTGCGTTATGCAGATGACATAACCCTGCTTGCTGAAACTGAGGAGGACCT